GATCTTGCCGGACTCAATGGCGAGGGAGACCTCCTCCTCGATGGGCTGAGCAGTCATGTACAGACGGTTGTGCTTGTTGGGCGACTTGGACAGAGCAGTCATGCTGGAGGTACCAGCGACGGTCTCACGGTAAGCAACGACGGGGTCGGAGATACGGAGGGGAACACCAGCGTGGTCCTCCTCGAGATCCTTAAGACAAATCTCGAGGTGGAGCTCACCAGCACCGGCAACAATGTGCTGGCCAGACTCGTTGATCATGGTCAGGACACAAGGGTCGGACTTGGAGAGACGCTTGAGACCCTCGACAAGCTTGGGCAGATCCTGGGCGTTCTTGACCTCAACGGAGCGCTGCACGACGGGGGAGACGGAGAACTTCATGACCTTCATGTTGTGGGCAGTCTCATCGGTGGTGAGGGTACCGGACTTGAGCAGGAACTGATCGACACCGACCAGACCGACAATGTTACCGGCGGGGACATCCTCAATGGGCTCAACGAAGCGACCCATCATGAGAATGGTACGCTGGATGGCCTTGATGAAGAGATCCTCCTTGCGGCCGGGGATGTAGTTGGGACCCTGGATGCGGACCTTGACACCGGACTTGACGGTACCGGCGTAGACACGACCGAAGGCGTAGAAACGACCCTTATCGGAGGTGGGCACCATCTTGGAGACGTAAAGCATCAGAGGAGCAGTGGGGTCACAGTCGCGGATACCGATGCAAGCCTTGTCGTCGGTGGGACCCTCGTAGAGAGTCTCGGCACGGTACTTCTGGGCAGTGACGGGGGAAGGAAGGTGGATACAGATCATCTCAAGAAGGGCATCAGCGGCAGGCAAGAACTTGCGCATGATGAGCTTGAGGAGGGCCTTGCCCTCGAGCTCCTTCTCATCGTTGGTGAGGGAGACCTCGAGCTTGTCGAGGAGGGTGAAGATCTCATCACGCTTGTTGTGGTTGACAGCGGCAAAGATCTTGAAGATGGGGTCCAAGATGAACTGGTTGAAGGCACGCTCAAGGGTCTTGCCCTCGTACTCGCTCTTGGTGGTCCACTTCTTGGTCTTGGGGTTGAAGAAGTTGTCACCCCAGAGACGCTCAAGCATCTTCTTGCGGTCAACACCGAACTTCTTGGCGTACTTGACGGCGAACTGGCGGACAGTGAAGCACCAGCCGTGGAGACCGGAACCGAAGGCAATGGTTCCGCGGTCGGGGTAGACCTGGACGTCACCGAGAGCCTTGTCGAAGTAGGTGGAGATGATGACGTTGACGGACTCAATGGTACGGGAGAAGGACTGGTAAAGATCCTCCTTGGAGACCTGGAGCTCGAGAAGAGCACGATCGACCTTGTTGATGCACAGAACGGGCTTAATACGCTCAGTCAGGGCCTGACGCAGGACGGTCTCGGTCTGGACACAGACACCGGAGACACAGTCGACAACGACAAGGGCACCGTCAGTGACACGGAGAGCGGCAGTGACCTCGGACGAGAAATCGACGTGACCGGGGGAATCGATCAAGTTGATCAGGAACTCGTCACCATCGACGGTCTGGGGAATCTCCTTAAGATCCTCTGGGTCGGGGAACTTGGCGTAGAGGGAGATAGCGGTGGACTTGATGGTAATGCAACGGTCCTGCTCATCGGGACGGGTGTCCATGAAACGAGCCTCACCAGCCTTGGCGGCGGAAATAATACCGGCACGCTGGACAAGGGAGTCGGAGAGGGTGGACTTTCCGTGATCGACTGAGGCACAGAAAACAAAGTCAGAATCGGGCATTTCACCGTATCATATCGTCTTTAGTAAAGAACTTACCGTGAGCAATGACGGACATGTTTCGGATGTTAGCCCGACGGTCCATCAAGGTCCGGATCTGATGTAGGTTAGTATCGACATTCATGATGATTTGATGATGATCTGTTCCAAGAGAGCAAGGATTTCAAGCATCACCAGCAGAAGTGGGAGATGAGAAATGGAAGGCATGGAAGGATAGCAATCGAGGGAAATATATCCCCTCCTTCCGCTGGCAATGTTTGCTATAACCTTGGACCCCTTGGAAGGCAAATACTAACCTCTTCGATAGTGAAGCTATTCACATCATTGTTAGCTGTATGTCCTGGACAATCGTCTAGAGAACCACTTACTTAACCATCTTGGCGGTTGATCCTTAGAAAAAAAACTAGGATAGAAAAGAAGAAGAAGAGCACACAGATGACTAGGACCGAGGGTTCTCGATCACTGAATCAAAAATGTTCTATGTGCAACTGCTCCTGGGAGAGATAGAGGGGGAAAGAAGAAGAAGAGGGGAAGGGAAAGTGGGAGAGAAAAAAAAGAAAAGCGAAAGTGGGGACTTTTTTCTCCTCCCGGTTTTGTGCGTTTTGAGCTGACTAGCCCATTTTATTTTTTTTTCCTTTATAGAAATTCATTGGGTATATTATTCTCTTTTTTTTAAAATTGCTCACATTCTTCTCATTGACTTTTCATTTCGGCCCTTTTTTTGATTTCAAATCCTCTATGCTTTCATGTCTTGACTCACTTACGCTGACTTTTTTTTGCCATCCGTGGGTGCTCCGGTGACGTTTGACAGCCATATCACAAGCGAGAGATGGTTTCAACTCTTTTTATAGCTACATATGGATATAATATGAATGTAATATGATGTCTTTGATCTTTCTAAATGAGTCAATTTAGAGCCCATGATTCACTCCATGCTTTTAGCTTTCCAAGGTTTCCTAAAAGACTTGACTCTGCCCAAAACCCCTCTATCAACTTGGTGGGGCAATGCAACATTAGTAAGCCATTTCAAATTGATCCCTGGGGCTACCTCAAGCATACCTAGGTATAGCTCAAGAGCTCAATGTATGGTACACCAATATAGCTATTATTTATATGCCTAAATAATTCAAAATATAGATACCTCAAAAGATTCAATCACATCAAAAACAAAATCCTCTTTCTACATAAGCCTTGGAGCAAATTTTCACCGATCTTCACTGCTGGCTCGTGCAGCACCGTGCATTAGTGGGGGGCAAAAGAACTCCTCATTTGGAGGCACCAAGGCACCAAGGCATCAAATCATCCCACCTGCATACACCTACATTATAGGAAGGAACCTACAGTACAAAGCTACATGTATATGGTCAAGACAAAATTAATGAATTCAACAAATAATTTAATCTGTCGTATGCTTGACTCCATCACTAAAATAGAGGATCTCAAAACGATCCATAAGCCGGGGCGGTCTTCCAGCCCGAGTGTTCCGGTGCCCAGTCCCGGTAGCCATCCCGGCCGTATGATATGGAATCGTGCGATTCAGCGGGCGTTTTCGTTGGCCTACAGAAAAATCCAGATGATAAGATTAGAACCTTGCATCGAGAAGTACCCATATGGCCTCCTTTGCCAATTCCTTCACTCTCCCAGAAGCTGAGCGCGACCAAAAGCAATATCACCCAAGCTCATAAACAATTGCCACCTTACCAACCGAAGAATCCAGTGAACTAGCCTGTCTATCTAATTCCATTGTTGACCATCCTCGCTACTGCTACCTGGGTGCTTTATAAGCTGTGTGTCCTCACATGTGACCTGAAACAATATTCCCGCCATCGCTCCTCGGAGTCATTTGCTTTTTCAGGATCTCGTTGATAGATTTTCATCTTTATATATAAGCTATCAATGCTCAAAGCCTTAACCATTCTGATAATCAGGAAGCTCCTTACGTAGTGGGGTGTATAACCTGGCCTCTTTTTCCCCCTCGCTATGCTTGTTGTCTTGCAAAGGCTGCCCAATCTGCTATAATATACCGAACGATCCTAAAAATTGACATATTTTCTGTCATAGTCATGACTATGTTCGGTGTGATACAGTGAAATGGCAACCTATCAAGGGATGAGGCAGGATACTGCAGATATATACTACAGATACAAGATCGCTAGTAGTAACCCTCGTAACTTCAAAATGATTCACACTTTATTGTACATTTCAGCAATATACATGCAGCAAGTTTTTACATATTTATGTAAAGGCAATAATGTATCACGACCTGCTGTACAGGCTTCGAATAAAGTTCTTTCATGCCCTCCAGGGCTACCCATGGAGGAATATATATACGGTTAGTCAAATCCAGAATAACCACTATGTACATAGGAAGTGCTTCCAGATAAGTTAGAACAAGTAAAAGTGAAAACTAGAACTATATATTACACTATTAGATGGAATTATGGACAAGGCAATCAAGAGATTGTTAGCTCAGACACAAGTGTTACGTTCCCATTTTTGAACCTCCCTAGATGGAAACGAAATATCGTTTTTTGATCGTTTATAACATACATAAATTTGAATAACCCATCTTCATTATAGGTGTTCTAATCGAACTTTTAGTCAATTAACCCCAAAATATCCCGTACACTCAGACCCTCAAACACCCGCGGACCTAGCGGGCGCCACCCAATCGCTAAGGGCCCCTTGGATAAGCGAGTCCAATTGCGACTAAGCCAAGTTGTTTTGCCATGTCCAGGTAACAATCCTACTCTAAGCCAGGGGTTTAGCGTCAATTTAGTAAAAATGATATTTTGCCCCTATAGAATAATTAAAATGCCGACGATCCCCAGTACAAAAGTGAGTTGTAAAATATCCCCACGTCTAACGGCCGATCGACATGCGTAGTGGGTCGTGGCTTTTCGCCCTACTGGGCATCTCTCTTGCAGATGCTTTGTCTCTGGAAAAAAGAGATATGCCTGCTGTGTTCAATGTGCCTTTAAAACACAGGAAAGTTGCAAAATATGTTGCCAATACCCAGTTAAGAAGGCAAAATGCAGTCCTTATTCCAATCGGCAATGATGTATGGTCTTTGCCTTGATCCTGACACTTACCTATACTTACTTTTACCTTCTCAGGAAAATATTGTTTACACCAACATCTCATTAGGCACCCCGCCACAGAGCATTGAGGTGGGATTTTGGATGATTGGCAATGAATGCTGGGTCCCTGTAAGGACCTCGGATGCTTGTGTCATGTTTCGAGGCAATAAAAACTGCAACGGCTCCGGTGGCTATAACAAGACCATTTCCACTAGCATGAATGATCTGCATTCCAACTTCACTGTCAGCAAGTCGATTGAATCATCCATGACCATCACTGGAGAGTTTGTAACCGATACTCTTGTCATTGGAGACACAACCGTGGAGTCTATGAAGATCGGGATTCTCAATGTGGATGCCGCCCAGAGTAAGCTCACACGTCTATATAACCCCGATGCCATGTTTGTGGTTAGCTAATCCCTTGAATAGATATTATGGGGCTGGGATATGGCGAAACAAACTCGTCTTTTATTTCCCTTACTGAAGCATTGGTTAATGCTGGAACCATCAAGTCCCCAGCTTTTAGCATGTATATGGAAACCCCTGTTCATTCTATATACGCAGGAACCTCGCAGGATGAGAAAACAGGCACTCTTCTTTTCGGTGGTGTGAACAAATCCAAGTACAATGGCACACTTCACACACTTCCCATCATCAACAACCCTGCCGATTATAGAAAGGCTTTCCGGATCAATATCACAAGCTTTTCTATTAATGAGACATCGGTATTTCCTGAGGGGCCTTCGATACAAGCTCTACTTGATGCCTCATTGTCTTATACCTACGTCCCAGAATCCATCGCGCAGGATATCTTCTCTCGATTGGGTGTCACTGAAACCTCAACGTCTGGGCCAGCCTCTATCCCATGCAATACAACTTCCAGTGACACAAAACTTACGTTCGCGTTCGGAGCTGCGAGTTTCAAACTTGACATTGGTCTGTTCATAGAAAGACGTAGCGTGTTTAATGATGAGGATATCTGCTATTTGGGTATTGTCGCGAAAGCCGATACCAAGGGCGCAGACAGCGTTGGGCTTGGGGCAAACTTTCTTCAACAGATCTACACTGTCTATGATATGGGCAACGACGAAATCTCTTTAGCACAGAGGAACTGGAACTCCAACGAAGATGAAATCGTCGAAATTACGACTGGCAAGAATGCAGTCCCTGGGTCTACCTTGGAAAAGGGTGTGGCAGATGACACAAAAGCCAAAGATGCCCACGAGGAGAAGTCTACCGGATCCCGCATTGACGAGTGTGTAGGCCGACAGCTCTGCCTTTCTATCTTTGCGATTTGGACTCTCTTCTATTTATAGAATTTGATTTATGCTGTGTTCTTTTACTTAGCCCACCATAGAGTCTTGAACTCTCTGCCGAGCGCATGCTAACTTCGGTCAACATAAACTGTGCCCTATATACAATACAATTGCTAGTCGGTTCCCCCCCCGGAACGCTAAATTTTCCATATGCAAAACTCACGAAATGTCGACGTTCATGACAGACTGGATGATTGACTGAAGCTCTGGGCGATTTATAGCAAGCGAGGCCACTGTCTCAACAAAGAGACTATGGACAAACTGGGATAGCTCTTTGATCAACCCCCCTAATCAGCAGTCGAAAAGGCCGACGAAGAGTAGAGGACATTTAGTTAGAAGAGATTGGAAACTGTTCTTCAACTTTTTTTTTTTTAGACAAAAATGGTGCTCAACTCCCATGGTTGAAATACAAGACCTATATTGGAAAGAAAATCCCCATCTCTAACCCTAATACGGCCGTAGTAGACCTCAGGAGGCACTGTGGACCTCAAAAAGGTTCACGATAAGCCGCGATAAATCGCGATAAGCCATCCAGATAGGTCACGATAAGCGATAGGATCCATCTCCTCAACATCAGTGTGTATATCACGTGCCACAATACGCCAACGACATCTGGCAGCCAGCCTTCATCGCTTTGTTCTTCAACGCATTCACACCTCTCATCGATGAGAAACTGCGTGCTAACCAGGCTGCGGGCTCTGAAATACAAGCTCTGCCTTAGTTCACTGTGAATGCCCATCTGCCCCTGCAAAGTATTCCATATTGGAAGGGCAAATGCAGAGAAACTCGACATATCGACTCGATTATATGGATGTTCGGATTTCCTACGCGGTGACTTGTTTTTCGATTAAATAAGCGACCAGTACCAGGTAAGTCCCAAAATGCTCGGCCGCGCGGCGCGACACGATTGCTTCTATCCTATCTACCCTTCTTCTATCATTGAATCTACCCCCGGACTCGACTGATTACGGCCTGTGTAATTCTGAAACGGAATGGCTGACGAGTCTCCCAGTCTCGAAAATCTAATTGAGGAGCTCGGGTTTCCCCCAAGCGAGCACGGGTTCTTGCTTCGTCTTTTCGGCTCGTCCGACCCATTTTCTGGGCTTCCTGGTGCAGACCCAGAGGCCAGTCACGGCCAAAATCGATCTGGCCAAAACAGCTCTACGAGTATTGCTCGCAGACTTGCATCTACAAGGCTCTGGCAAGATATTCTTCCGTTTGCTAATTGGATTTCCCTAACTAACCTACCACCCTTGCAGTGAACGTGCCAATCAGCTTCGTCTACGATCTGCGAACCGTCATCCTAGTGACGCTCGCGAAGGTTTAGAAGGTAGAGATTTGGTTCATTACGAAGAAGAGTGGACTTCCCTGATCGGAACAGATTCAGAATCTCTGGTCTCCGAGTTGCTCCAACAGCTTGCAACGGACGACGAGCCTCCCTGTCTCGACTCCCCTCATCTTCCCGAACACCCTGAGGCATCAGAGAACGTTGCACGCCCTAGATTCCTTAGACCCCCGAGCCCATCAGTCTATGACAGCGAAATAGGTGAGCCACCCGACTCTGTTGACAACTTCAACGAGACCCCCCGGAACCCAAGGCAATAGCGAAGAATCCCAGGACCCGAGGACTTTAAAACAACCTGGGAGCTTCGAGAAGCTACTTGAATCATTCCCAAGACCTCCCGGTCCCAATCAAACAGTCAAAGACCAAAGCTTCTCCCACGTTTATTCCGACACCCAACGAGTGCCACCGAAAGACAGTGCCCAGGCTAACATATCAACGCTTGCCAGCAGTCAGATCAAACTTGCGACCAGTCTTCCTTGGATTTCCCGATTCTCTGAAGAATTGGGAGACAGTAACCCGATCAGAGGACAAGATTCTTCTAGCATCCGTGCCAAGGCTGATATATCTGCACTCGACGCCAGTGGGCTAGGTAATACCTCTCCTAGTTCTTCTGAAATCTCCCCGCAGTCTTATTCAACTGTCACCAACACTCGGAACGTTTCCCTTCAGATCCCTTCTCTGACCCCAAGCGCCTCTTCTAGAGAGTTAATTCTCCCCGTTGACTATCACGGGGGCCAACAAGCGGATCCTGAAAGCTCCCACCAAGCTCAGGAGTGCACAAATCGGTACACCTACACCCCTTTCCCCGAATACTCGAGAGTTCTTCCGATCAGCTCCGTGATCAGAAGGCAGCACTCCTTCCGCACTATCTTTGAAGGGCGCGCTACACCTACAGATTCCTCTCGATATTACCACAAGACGCCTCTTCGTATCTCTACCCGTCCGTCAACGATCTCCTTCGCCTCTGGAAAAAGGAACACATCAAAGCCCAAGAGAATCTGGAAGCGTTGCGTTAAAAAGGTCAAACACTTGCTTTGTCGAACCCGCAAACGCACATCATCCGCTCTCAATCATTAGTTCCACGCCAGAGAAGCCGCATATCTTTAGAATCCCTTTAAACTCATCTCACCCAACCCCCATCTCTATCTTTACTCCTTGCTTACTTTCACTCCTGTCTCATTCTTATAACTATCTCTTTTCACACCTCGCTCATTTCAAGCCTATCTTCACTCACAATGGATTCTCGAACATCCCGTCTCTTGGATCCATCCTCGGCAATGGCGGCTATCACCAAACACAAGGCAGAAGCGATCAAACTAGCTCGCGAACAAGGGGTAGCCGTCCAAGAGATGTGTCGGCGTGCAAAAACCGAGGTTCCACCTTACGAGTTTGAAGAGTTGATAGGCAAAGGTGCCTATGGTCGTGTTTACAAAGGTCACCAAACACCATCGGGTCGGCTGGTTGCCATCAAAGTCCTAGATATCGACTCGCTAGACTACAAGTCGCTTCGAGATTTCAGGGATGAGTCGATCAAAGATTTCATCCATGAGACAAAGGTGATGAAGCAAGTGAAGGATTCCGGTGCCAAAAACATCAATGAGATCATTGAAGCCATCTCCATTCACTCTCAGTTGTGGCTGGTTTGTGAGTACTGTCCCGGTGGTAGTGTCCGTACCTTGATGCGTGCAACAAACGACAAGCTCGATGAGAAATACATCATTCCAATTGCTCGTGAGCTAGCCGTTGGACTTCGTGCTATTCACGAAGCTGGAATTATTCATCGTGATGTGAAAGCTGCAAATATTCTTGTTCATGAAGAAGGTCGTCTAGAAATCTGTGACTTCGGTGTTGCTGGTGTTCTTCAATCACAGCGAGACAAACGATCCACCTGGATTGGAACACCACACTGGATGCCGCCAGAGATGTTTGCAACTCGTGGGGAGGCCCATCAATATGGCAACGAGATTGATGTGTGGGCGTATGGGTGCACACTGTTTGAATTCGCGAACGGGAACCCGCCAAACGCAGGCCTGCGAGAACGAATGCAAATCGGTCGCCAACTAAACCGCAAAACTCCCCAGCTGGACAGCGACATGTACAGCCAAGGCCTGAAGGACCTTATTGCTTACGCCCTTGACTCCAACCCAGAAACCCGTCCCACGATGGCAGACATCCTTGCCCACCCCTACATTGCTGATACGGAGGAGGAATATCCAACCGCCTCGGTTAGTGAGTTGGTGAGAAACTACTACCAGTGGTCCCAACGAGGAGGCCAACGGATTTCTTTGTTCCACCCAGGCGGTGCCGCGGCAGCTGAACTCCCAGGCATCGAGGAGTCAGAGGATGACTGGAATTTCAGCACAACAGATGGATTCGAGCGAAGATTCTCTGTCATTGACCTGGATGAAATTGCCGCCTCACTGGCGGAGCTGCAGCAGTCAATAAGTCCTACCGACACAACGCCTGAGCAAGAGATGTATGAAACGTTCTCAGAAGACGATCTTAACTACGAAGATAAGGTCAATTTCGATGAACGTGTACGCCGAGGTGCAGTGGCAATGGAAGGCCTGTTTAATGAAGAGAAGCCCAGCTACACATATGAAACAAAAAATGACTTTGTCCCCATCGAACCCGCCCAACCCACTTCCGATCTTCCCCTTCGTGCGGAAACAGACCGCTCTTCTGTCACATCAACTTTTCTCGATATCGATATCGGGTCATTCGAGGCCTCCCACTACGCAGCAGGAGCTCCATCTGCGCAGCCTTTCCAATTGGTCGATGCAAATACTATCCGCGCGACCCGGTCCAGTCTTCGATTGAACAGGAGCTCGTCTGAGAATAGCTCAAAGTCGTCTGATAGCGGCGTGGATGACGATGCAAACCTCGAAGATACATTCGTGCCTTCTGGTCCTCGGCCTCCCACCATGGACTGGAAATTCCCGTCATTCACACAAGATGAAAAAGAACAACCGAAAGAAGAAGAGAAGGAGGCCCCTGTACAGAAGCCCGTCACAGAGGAGTCTTTCCAGGCTGAGAAGCGAGCTACCATGCAGTGGACATTCCCAGTGATGGGGTCCGTACCCGAGAGCCAAACATACGATGACCGACATGATACCCTCCGGGCCCCATTGCCTGAGGTTCAACCTCCACCGCAGTCGAAGCCACTGTCAGCAGATGAACCAGGTGACTCACGTCCTTCGACTTCCGCATCAAATATCTCCGACTCAGATTACGATCCCTTCCGCTTCGATCGCCCCACCACCCCAGAGGGTGCAAACTCACTTCATCACAGTCATTTCTTCGACACAGAACTCCCTGCGATGCTGGAATTAGCCGGTTACCATGAATATGAGGCTTCAGGGATTCTCGATGGGCCCGGGCCAGACGAAGAATCTCACCCTGTATGGAAGGAGCACTCCAGGACTTCCTCGTACGAAGATGGTATGGCAGCTTTACCCACCGCTGTTCCGGTTCCCCAAACTCCCACTGCTTCCTCGGTGACTTCTGGCCCGGTCTCAGAACCGGGATCTCCCGTGTTCGAAACTATTCGGCATGTACGACACGATATGCCTGAAGTCACCATGCCACATGTAGAAGATAAGGGGCCAATCCCCTTCCCGGCTCTCAATCCTCCGAATGCGGCAAGTCTGATGGAGGGCATGGATGATACTGTGGTGACAGCAGAACTTGACCGTTTACTGGGTGATTTCCTAGAGTCGCTCTCGGCGACTGGTGAGGCATTGTCACGGGCCGAGATCAAGCATGAGATGAATGGTGTTCAGGTTGTTGAGCAGGTCTAGATGACCGAGTATGGGCTTGTGGAATATCATTATTGGCAAATATCCTTAGCGGAAGCCATGTAAGGAGGCCCAGATATGTGGGATCAATGAGTGTCAAGTTATCTACAATCCCAATAACTAATATTATGTTTGGTTTACATGCATGTTATATCCACGGAGATTTCCAGGAAGGATGATGATGTAGACACTACTTCTTGGCTGCTAGGGACAAAGATGTATTTTATTCGATGTCTGAAAATATACTTGGAGCCATGCCTATAGTATTCAGCATCCTGGCTAGTCAAGCCCGATAAACATGGCTAAACAAGGTAGAAGCACATACACTGAACTTGTCTGGCAAGCTCTGTGTGGGCACTTGAAGTGCCCAGGTCCTAATTTGAGGAGATATAGTCTCCAATCTTTTGTCTCCTCTTTCTTCTTGTCCCATCTCGCATTTCATCTCTTCTTCTTCTCCTTCTCTTTCTCCTTCTCCTTCTTCTTCTCCTTCTCCCTTCATCGCTTGTTCCCACTTTATCTCCTCCTATCCATCTTCAACTACCTCAGAAATGCCACGAGAAACCTCATTGTGGGGTGGTGCCTTGTCTCCCCCACAGAACTCTTATGAATGGAAGAGAGCTCTCCTGGATGTGAAATGGCTATGTTTCAATCAACAATACAAGCAATGTGCCTTGCGTTGCAATCAGCTCATAGACACCGCGTCTACTCCGGTTTGTGTTTCACAGATCTCACCCCAAATTCTGATTGCTAACGGGTTTATGCATAGCTTCATCCGATCTATGCGACCTACCTCCACTATTATGCAGCCACTTCATATGAGTACATGGGACGAGCAGCTCATATCTTTTCGGCTATCAAAGTCCCGCTTCTGACTTCTGCTATGGAGCGGTTCCAGACATCCTATGAGTTGTTGCCCGCTACTATCCCTATCCCGGTTCTGAACCCCCAGACCTACTCGCCAGTTACTTTTCTTAATTCACCCAACTCGACTCCTCAGTCTTCGTTGAGTAATGTCGTGCGGAGCCCTACTATTTACCCGACCCATGGTGTCCCTCCTGGCCCTGATCCAAATGCTCAAACTCTGTCAGTTCAGAATCTGTTGGTTCATAATGCTAGACTAGCTCACACTCCTCCTTCGACCGCCCATTCTCACTCTTCCTCTTCAAACCGTTCTGTCACAACTGCCTTCTGTCTCACACCACCTCCTACTGTCCAAGCAGCCTCGCGTCTTCACTATGACGCACCTCCTCCAGACTTTCATATCCCGCCTCCGAACCGTGAGCCTCCGCCTCCACCACGACCCGTTCCTATTCGCCCGGCTACCGGAGACCAATTGCTCTCTTTTAATAGTGTCCGAGATGGACTTCCCAACGGGGGATCTATCGTCCGAAGCATTGCCCGCATGATTGATAACTCCATTATCGCGGGAGCCGACGACCCTTTTCTGAACCGCGTGCCCCCAAAACATCCCGATCTAAAGCGGCCACCAGTGCGCCTGTCCCCAATCAAGTTCCCAGCTGAACTCGAGGACCCGGTAAAGCGCAGCGAGCTCATTCCATCTCCACTTGCCATTCGGAAGAGCTCTGGCGAGGTTCTCATGTGCAGCAGTTCTGCGATGGTAATCTGCGGGGGTTCAGAGCAAGAAACATCTAGGAATGAGGTGAATCGACCAGTCCGAGCTCGCCCTCCCCGGCTACCCTTGAAGATAATCCCTTCCGGACGTCTGAATGCTAACACAGAGAAGACGAGTCCTTCGACTCTAGTACGGCGGTCGAAGCGTCTGAGTCCCGTCCTCTCTTCACCCACAACCATGGCTCCATCGACTCCCACCCCCGTTATGAGAAAGAAGATCCCCGTCCTCAGCTCGCCGTTCGCCAGCCGTGCAGGCTTGCCCGAGCAGAAAAGCATGAAGTCGCCCTCGTTGCGGTCTAGAAAGTCATCCCCCTCCCCCGAACCTGTCAGCGCCGAGCGTGCCGCGCAGATTAATGAATTCAACGACGCCATCAAGTGGCTCCGCGAGCATATACCCGCCGACGTGGCCGGACTCCGCAAGCAAATTAAACATGTTTCGGATATGCAGCAGGCCCGTCGCTCTCGCAACACGACTATGGTCCGCTCTGCCTCCTTCTGGACTTTTTCGCCCGTTAAGATTGACCCCGATTCCGGTGAATCGCAGGAATCTCCTGTGATTGAGGGGCCTAATATCGATGAGTATGGAAATTTCATTCGAGTTGAGACTAAGGCGCAGCGCATTAAGCGGCTCGGGGATGAGGATTGGAGGATTGGTATTCGGTCGAAGCATAGTCTCTGGAAGGGGACTGAGTACTACGATAAGCTTTGCGAAACTGCTTTGGCAGAGCTTGGTCCGACGGGTTATGGATCTCGTGAATGGCTGCAGCGATGAGATCTTACTGTTTGTTCTCTTATTGGTTTATTTTTATTACTTGCTCTTTTTGCTTTTGTCCTTTTGTTTTCTTTTTGGGGGTTACCAGTCGTGCAAGCGCCGATGCAGTTGCATGACATTGGAGCTATTCGATTCCGGATGCTCGATGGGTATCGCATTACTCAATATGCCTGGGTAGTTGATACTTAAGGTCATAGTTATCACCATGATCTGTGTTTGATCACCTTGGTTGCGAATCGGGGTGGTTTGGGGGAGTTGAGTATGCCATCAGGTATACTGGAGGAAATGATTGTTGCATCCTCGCTCAGTTGGTTTAGTACAAAAGATCACGATATGATCTTTTCTATGCTTACCGCTTGGACGAAGGTTGCCTGGGAAACATCCTTATGGTTGGATTTGTTTCTTCGACTTAATCTCAAAACTTAATCTTTAATTTCAAATCAAAAGTCAATCTTGCTATTCTTATCCTTCGCCCTAACAATCCACTCAAAGACCTTTACTCAACACAGAACCAACCCCTTCTCCCAGACCTCCTTTCCCAAATATGCCGCCCAGTTGGTTCCCGAGTTGATCTTGAATCTTGCTTAGGTTCTGGTCCTCGGTGAGTTTCTTGCCTGTGAGGCTCTCTATAGAACCTGGTTAGTATGATTCTTTTTTTCGTTTCTTCTCTTTTTTTAAATATAACATACTTTTCAATCCATAAGACACCTTTGTCTCACCCATGTAGTCCAACAAGAGCTCTTGGAGCTGTTTCTGATATGGGTCTAGATAACCAGCGACCCAAGCGCCAAGTAGAATTACCTGGAGGGTAAGAAAGAAGAGAAAAGATAGCATAACTGAAAGGTCAAATTCTTGGGGATATTATGATAGCACATTGCAAGTTCAGCAAAATGGTGGTTGTTGTGGTTCATATACCTCTGGCTAAGCCTATGACGTCTGGTGACGACGCTGTGCCACACAGGCACCTTGGTGGGGTCGGGGTATTCATTGCCAATCAGGGGAGGACTTGTATATTAATTGGCATCAGAGCATTTTTCAAGTTACGCAGGCGTCATTCTTTTCTCAATTTGAATTACTATGTTAAAGTAGGGTTGGGATAAAGTGGTGTTGTGGCTCTAAATAGATCTACTACGGTTCTTGGGGCATCAAATGTTCTATTTGTGTCTTTACCTTTGACTAATGGGAAAAAATAACAACGTGTATGTTTGCACTTTGGGGCTAGAAAATAGGAAACAGAAAACAGAAAACAGAAAAGGATTCGGGATTTTTCATAGTGGGTTGTAAATAGTGACATCTCCCAAAATCACATGCGAGATCTACACTGTACATATAGTTAATGTGCATGCAGTTAATTGGACTTTAATACTAACTTTGGGAATATATGTCTTGGTCTTAATTCATGATAATTATCATGGTTTTTTCTCCTTTTTTCTCCATTGTAATTAATTAATTAATAGTCCATATGTTCTATATTAATTTCTACTCCATATAGAGTCAGCCCTGGAGGCAGTGACATTCCCGTTGTGGCTGTGCTGGCGCTAAACCCTACAGCCCCGAATCAACTCAAGGCTTATCGCGTCTAGAACTCCTGATCTTCCCCCTCTTCAGCCCTTTTTTTTTCCATCTTTTTTATTTTTCATCTCCTTGGCCTGACTTGCGATTGAGCTGTGATCTCTGATATATCTTGGTCTACGTGTGGTATGTCTACTCCATTAGTTCTGTTTGGAATCTTCATGCAGCCACCCCCGCGCATGGTCACCCCTCGAATTGGGCCTTTCTATATTTTCTACCTAGGCATATCACTGACCTTATTCCCTTGCTAGATTGGACACCATTTCAACCTTAAAAGCTTCAATCCTCGAATCCTCCTCTTCTTCATTCTAGTCATTGCTACCTAACGGGTTCCGTGCCCATTCGAGCCCATCGCACACCGCGTCTGCCACCTTAGGCGTCTGCAGCCCTATCCCCACATCATGAGTTGTGAGTCGATATTTCATATTTGCGGGACTTTTGTCCTCTGTGCCTTTTTGCTATGATTCGCCCTGTGGTCTTGGCCGAATATTGTCCGGCTTCGCGTCAGCCTTATCCATAATCCGACTATTCACTGCGTTGGAATTGCTATGTCAATCTACTCGCTGCCTGTCAGCCCCCCATTGAATATATGGGGGCTAGGAGGACTTGGTCTTCTAGCTGTCATTTTGTGTCACGGTCTGCTTTGCCATGCCTAAGCCCTCCCCGCTCGGTCGGCTCCTCCAGGGGTCCTTTGCTTCATTTGTTTTACGCGATTCGTCTGACAGGCCCCGCAATTTACTAACTTACATTCCTCTAGTCGCAAACATGCTCAACAAGCTGTCCGGGCAGCCAGAGAGCTATGAAAAGAAGTACGGCCTCTTTATCTTCGCTCCCTAGCCCCACATTCGCTGACCTGGTTTCGCTGGCAATAGGGCTCTCTATAAATTCGGACGGACACTGGGTGCTGGTACATACGGAATCGTTCGCGAAGCGGATGCCACCGACGGACAGAAGGTTGCGGTCAAGATAATTCTGAAGAAAAATGTCCGTGGCAACGAGGGCATGGTCCACGATGAGCTTGAGATGCTGCAATCTCTCCAACATCCCCACATTGTCTCTTTTGTCGACTGGTTCGAATCTAAGGTGGGCACGTCTCTGTTTGATCCAATCGGTGCAGAGCTCTAATCGTCGACCTAGGACAAATTCTATATCGTTACACAGCTAGCCACCGGTGGCGAGTTGTTCGACCGGATCTGCGAGTATGGAAAGTTCACTGAGAAGGATGCGTCACAGACCATCCGCCAGGTGCTTGATGCCGTGAACTATCTCCACAAGCGCAACATTGTTCACCGAGGTTGGTCTCCTTGAGTCATACTAGTGCTTTTCATGTAGCTAACCTTTGCGAAGACTTGAAACCCGAGAACCTCCTCTACCTCACCCGTGCCGCCGACTCTCAATTGGTCTTGGCAGATTTCGGTATTGCAAAGATGCTGCACAGCCCCTCCGAGGTACTGACCAGCATGGCCGGTTCCTTTGGATATGCTGCTCCCGAGGTCATGCTCAAGCAGGGCCACGGCAAGGCTGTCGATATGTGGTCGCTCGGTGTCATCACCTATACCCTTCTATGCGGTTACTCCCCCTTCCGATCCGAGAACTTGACCGATCTCATCGAAGAATGCCGGACCGGCCGCATCATCTTCCACGAGCGGTACTGGCGCGATGTGTCCCAGGACGCCAAAGATTTCATTCTCACTCTTCTGAATACGGACCCCACCAAGCGAGTTTCCTCCGAGGAAGCCCTCAAGCATGTATGGCTGACCGGAGAGACTGCGAGCGACCGTGACTTGCTGCCTGAAATCCGCACCTACATTGCGCGTGCCCGTCTCCGCCGCGGAATCGAGATCGTCAAGCTCGCCAACCGTATCGAATCGCTCAAGATGCACGAGGAAGAGGATGGAGATGGAGAGGATATCCCCAGCCCCATGGACATGGGCGACTCAACCCAAGAGCCAAGTGCGGCGGAGCCATCAGTGCCAAGCGGCGATGCCAGTCCTACTACCCCTGGCCACGCAAAGAAGAAGAGTCTGGCCAGTGCTGCTCGCGGTGCCATTTTCCGTGAAGTTGTTTTGGCCAAGGTTCGTGAGCAGAAGGAGAACGAGGAGCGGGAGAAGGTTGAACGTGAAGCTCGTGAGAAGGCTGCTTCTTCGTAGGTCGTTTGCCATCTTTCTTTTTTGTTTCTTTTGCATCTTATGTCTTGTTTATACGCTGTTGCTATGTCCTGCCCTGTACTTCTCTTTTATCTGCCTGGCGGTTTCTTGGATATAATTCTGTGATTCCCATTTATCCTAGTCAATCAGAGTGAACATACAATATTGAAGCAATGACGCTTGCTTTTCTTTTTTCGATTGAGATTTATATCAAGTTTTGTATCTGATATTCAATTCACATGTGATGTCTGACATTTTACACTTCTTCACTCTTCTGTAACTCATCCGCTACAATAGAATAAGAAATCTAGAACGACTATCAAAAACTGGGGCTGAGTATTCTTGTTCGGTGATATATATTGCTCAATAATTGCGTTGCTGCCTGACTATGTATGTAATAACTATGTAGTTTAAACCCTCTGACTAAGGGCTAGTACTTGATTGACTCTTACGATGCTTCACACTGCCAACCTGAGTGTTTTCTATACAAGTTGAAATGTCTATGACAAAATAGCAAGCTATCTATCTACCTTGGGAGTATAACAGCACTATATCCATGACAGATATATATAGTCAGGTGTCGATATCACGTGTATTAATAGATAATCTCCCCACTTAGCTTTAGACCCTCATTTGTGATCTTTTGACAATATCTCTTCTCTTCTGGCCATCTTATACTCTTTGCCGCTTCGATTTATTTTCATCTCACTTGTTGAGGGCTTCCTCGCATTTCCGTCCTCAACGTCATACATCCGCTCTACTCCACCCCGAGACACCGCCCCTCCTTCCCCACCGGAGCTCAACCATCTAAATCTTTTCTTTCAGCACTCATCGCAACAATGTTCGCTACAAAGCGTCTGAGCAAGGTGAATATACTTTGGATCTGAAGCCTACTGGAATGTGCATCTTGCTGACTCGACATCTCTTAACCTATAGGAGCTCATTAAGGTACCAATCCCTCCGTTTTCTAGGCCTTATCGCCTTGCCGTTTGGCATCCTTTGCCTGGGAGCATACCATGGCGCACATGCATATCGCTCATCTATGAACATGTTTCTCTGACTTTTGACCTTCTAGATGCAAGAGCATCTCCCACCGGGAATTACAATAGTCAAATGTGACAATCTGGAGGAATGGCAGATGGACATCAAGATCCTTGATGACAACCCACTTTATCTCGACCAAACTTACCGCCTGAAGTTTACCTTCAGTAACAAGTATCCTATTGGTAAGCCCCATCTTCTCAGCCGTCAGCCTTGATCTCTATCGTCCCTCTCGGTAGCTCCCCGGGGTCATTCCACCCCTCTTATCCTTATCTCGTCCTGCAATTATCAGATCATTCTGGATTCTGACACATAATCTTTTTAGAACCCCCCGAGGTCCAATTCATCCAATGTCCTGACTCCACCGGCACACCCCGCACGATCCCAATGCATCCCCACATTTACAGCAATGGCATTATATGCCTTGACCTCCTAGGGTCCGCCGGTTGGTCTCCGGTACAGACAGTTGAGAGCGTCTGCATGAGCCTTCAAAGCATGCTTACCGCCAACAATCGTGATGAGCGACCCGCCGGCGACAAGGAATTCATTGCCACCAACCGCCGTCGCATCCGTGACATCAACTTTGTCTACGAGGATGACAACGTATAGATTCCTAGCTCCTCCGAAGTTGGAGCTACTCCGTGGTGTGTGCGGGATAGGATATGACCTACGTTGTCGGGGTGGGGACATACATTGGCGTTTTCTACATGGATGCAATTCCGCCCCTTGAGATTCGAGCGGCAGGATTTACATGGTGCCTGGTGAGATTGTAATTTTTTTTTTCCGTTCTTCGCGTTTGCATTCATCCTGGCGCTGGCCCATTGTTGGTCTCAATCATGCGAATGGGTGGCTTTCTTGCGGGCGTTCAAGGGGTTTCATTATTTAGCAGTCCGATCAATAAGAGAGCCATTTCTCTTTGAACAATAGTTGGTAAGTAGAGTTAGAGTATACAAGAGGGAAGAAATCAAGTAATAAAATCCACAGTATGAGCAATTGTCTATTTTGTCACTGGGGAAAACGATAGGGGATTACAAAAACGTCTAGATATCTCAAGTTAACCGGTTATGTTAGGGTGAGGAATAAGACTAAGAATAGGAATTAATTGGGGGCAAAGAATTCTTTTCCCCCTGCGGGGTATTAGTTCAATTTAATTGAGGGCGCCAGAAACCGCTCCCCTTGGGTTTACACAGACGCGACCTAGAAATGGCCATTATCGCATTCGGCAGGACGGAGCAGAATGGCGGTGGTTTCACTAACTAGGATTATTTTAAGTATGATACAGCCACCGGGTCTCTCTTCGTTCCCTCCATAGCTCTTTGAGAAAGCACGAGAATACGAGAAATGCGCCGGCACAGCCTTACCAGCTTGGCGTGCGGTACTGTTTTAAAGCAAGTCTCAGCCCCCTGGAGGATGCTGGGGGAAACACTCAGGATGGCCTCGAACATGAACGGAACAGAGCCATCATACGAGCAAATTCAGGTGACGACAGAGGGAGAAATTTCTCGTCGTCCATCAGTGAGTGAAAATGAGGGCCCTCCGTCCGCCAATCCCCCTTCTGAGGCAGGAAGCGATGGCGAAAACAACGCGCACAAGCCCAGCGACCCATCACAGTCACCATCAAATAGACTTAATGACTGGTTTGTCTGGGAGATACTAGGGCTGGCAATATCAACGGGCGTTTTAATCGCGCTGGCCGCTGTGCTTGCGCAGTATAACCGTAACCCACAGCCTAGCTGGCGATACATGTCGCTAAACTCTCTCATTTCCTGGCTGAGCACTATATTCCGAGCTGGCATCGTCATCTCCAGCAGCGAAGCTTTGGGCCAGTTGAAGTGGATATGGTTTGCCCAGAAACGGGAAAGGCCGGTACAGGAGCTTGGTGTGTATGACTCCGCTACGAGGGGGCCTTACGGGGCGATAAAGCTTATATGGACCTTGAGAGCCAGGTAGGGATTAATGATTGTTCTATCGTCGGCAACGACTTTCTAACACTATACAGACACTTTGCCGTCCTGGGCAGTATTGCAGTTATCCTGGCCATCGCGATTGATCCCTTTGCGCAGAATCTCGTCTACTACTACCAGGACATGGTCGACGACCCTTTTCAACAAGCTCTACTCGCCAGGACAGACAACTATACTGGTAGTAGCAATTCCTCAACGAATATGCTGGCAGGTTCGTTGCTGTAAATAGCGGGCATAGCAGAAATTTGCACTAACATACGAGCATAGGCTCCGGCGTTGATGTCGTCCTCAAAGCCAACGTTTACAGCTCCCTCCTAAACAACGATCCCCAACGGCCTTGGGCAACCTCGCAATACTCATGTCCATCAGGAAACTGCACCTGGGATCCAGTTGCCGCTTTGGAAGCCCGCGCTCTCTGCGCAGATGTCACTAGTCTCCTCTCTGGGTCCTGCATCGAGCCTGAGGATAACTTTGGCATCACAAATTGCACCCTCAGCCTTCCTGGAAATCAGACATAGGCATCGTATATCGGCCCTGACGATGGAAAGTCTTTCCGCACCGGCCAGGAAAAAGACATGATTTTCGTTAGCAATGGTGTTGACACGCCTGTGGCGGAGTCAAATCGTGTAAATACAACGCTGGGCGTAGTACAGTTCATTGCCCGACAAAAGGACTTACCCCCAGACCGGCTTCTCAAGACAATGTCATCGACGGATGGTTTCGAAGCAACGGAATGCGCCATCGTGCCAGTCGTACGGAGCTTCCGACCTTCTGTCGAAAACAATGTGTATAAGGAAGAGACGCTCGCTACATGGGGCCAGTCTAGCCTTATACGCGGAGATCGCCTTGTTGCGCATTACGATCTCGTTCCACCCTGGGGCCCTGAGATGGGGACTGACCAGCCCAATCAGGTGTTCGGCTACGACGTCATGTCCTCCCGCGTAATTACAAAATTTGTACAGGATATCCTCACAGGCCACCTAAGTAATAGTTACGGCGCCCTGTACTACCTATCCACCGTGCCCGACCCGATATACGCAGGTCGCGACATCCTCGTGGCGTTGGGCGAAGGTGAGGTTGTCGGTTGTGGTGATTATCTCCCGTCGAGACTGAACTGCACTATGGAAAACATCGCCCAAGCAGTCTCGAAAAGCTTCCGGGACTCGCGCTATAGGTTGAACGCAGAGGATGAATCCGGGAGAGCCGTCGGGCGTGTTCGGATCAGCGTTACGCATGTCGGTGTGCGGTGGGCGTGGATCGTGCTTCCAGTGCTGGTGTTGCTCTTGGGAATACTGGTGCTTGTCGGAACTTTATGGAAGGCTCGACAAAGATGTATTCCCAAGTGGAAGAATGACCTGTTGCCGCTGTTGTTTCTATACAGCGACATGACGGATGAAAAGGCTGGGGGCTTTGGCTTGCCGGCGCAGGGAAGTCTCAGCCATACTAAGCAGATGAAAGTGAGGTTGGATACGAGCGATGGTCGGATCCTGTTGCGGTAGTTGATGCTGCGTAGGTGTATTCTTTCCAATGCTTGATTTCGTTGATCTTGGTCTCAGTTAGTTTGGGCTGATTACTCTTAATCTGAGATATATCCTTTCTGCATGCGAGAAGATACGGCGCGTTTTGAAAGTTGATAGTATATCTCTACAAACAGAAGATCGATATAGTAAGCATATACTGTATCGTCTAAGGCATCTCTCCGAAATATGAAGAGGAATCACTCCTCCCTCTTGAAAATCTCCAAAACTCCCCTGTTTACCATAGGCCATAGCAACATCCAAAGCACTCAGCCTCTTGTTATTCTCCTGTCTCGCATCTGTTCCTGAAACAGCGATATAGCGTCCTCCTGCTAGTGCATAAAGCAGCATATCCCCATTATTGTTGGCCGCAAAGATGTCATGCGTGTCAAACATCTCCCAGGCCCTGATGACAAGGCGGTGCACATAATGGCATGTGCTGGGATTTGAAGCCCTACTCCATATTAAGGCATCCAGGCATCAAATCTCCCCAAAAAGGGGTCAAGGTTCGTTCGTAAGCGGGTGTTCAATGTGATTGGCCAGATCGCTTATATTCCCGAAGCCAGAATGGTACAAACCATCCAAGCCCCAAGTATAAGAACGAGCTAGTTTTCCCAAAATAATAATAAAGTATACTCATCTTCAAAATTAGAAATGGCACCTACGACCCAAATTGACCTCCTCCAGGGATGGCCCGCAACAGCCATGCTCCCAGTTGAACGCCTCAAACAAGCAGCCAACAACGCCCTATCTAACAAAGCCATATTCACCGAAGGATTTGCCTATGGCCCCGATGAAGGCTACTCCCCGCTAAGAAAAAATATAGCCGAGTGGCTATCCCGATCCTATGCACCTGCGCAGCCCATCAGCGCAGAGCGAATATGCATTACTGGCGGTGCCAGCCAGAATCTAGCATGTGTATTGCAGGTATTCACGGACCCAGCGCAGACAGAGATGATATGGCTCGTGGAGCCAACGTATCATCTCGTCTTCCGGGTATTTGAGGATGCTGGGTTCAGTGGGCGGATGCGAGGGATACCCGAGGACGAGGAGGGGATGGATGTTGGTGCACTTGAACTTGCTTTGGATGAATTTGAGCGTAGTATAAATTCGGGCTGTCAAGATGGGCAGGTATGTGCTTGTTTTTCTAAGCTGGTTGTTTTCGGGGTAACCCATGCTAATGGAAATAGGAGAAGACATACAAGCCCCACAGGCCGTATAGAAAGATATACAAGCATGTCATCTATTGTGTCCCAAGTTTCTCTAATCCGTCGGGGACGACAATGTCTTACTCGCGGCGCGAGGCACTTGTCAGAGTCGCGCGGAAACATGATGCTCTCATCGTCGCAGATGATGTGTATGACTTTCTCAGTTGGGGCGCGACACAGCCCGCCAAAACGGTTTCCCATCTTCAGCCGCGTCTCGTGGATATAGATCGGGTGGTTGATGGCGGTCCAGAGGATCGATTCGGCAATGTCGTGAGCAATGGATCATTCAGTAAGCTTATTGGTCCAGGATGTCGAGTTGGATGGGCTGAAGGGGCGAAAGACTTCATCTATGGTCTTTCTCAAGCGTAAGTGCTCATTCCTGATTCATAATACTGAAAGTAAGCTAAAATTTTACTCGCAGTGGTTCTACGCGCTCTGGTGGTGCTCCTTCGCAACTAACGTCAACTTTCATCAATGAGCTGCTTGAGGATAACTTCTTGCCTGAATATATTGCCAACATCCTAGTCCCAGAAGGACGACGAAGACATTGTCTTCTGGCATCAGCAATCAAAACACATCTCAGTCGTTTCGGCGTGTCATTTACTCCTGATCCCGAGACTAGTCCAGTCGCGGGGGGATACTTCATCTGGGTTCAGCTACCGCCCGCATTGACCGCGAGACAAGTGTGCCAGCAGGCCCTAGAGACACAGAATTTGGTACTGGGTGGCGGTGAAACATTTGCGGTTCCAGGGAATATTCCAGGGGGAGACTTGCATCGCAGGCTGAGACTTTGTTTCATGTGCGAGGATGAAGGGCGGCTAGTTGAGGGGGTGGAGAAGCTAGGGCTTGTCATGCAGAATATACTTACAAGCAACAAATAGATGCAATAGAACTAGTGTCATCTTTGGAGTTTTTCAATGAGTGTCTTATGAAAATGTGCAAGCTCTACTTCAGACTTCAAATTTATTCGAAATCCCACGATACAAAATCCCTACTCGGGCGGCTACAAACTACTTCCTTCGATAAATCTCATCAAAATTCGTGAACTTCATTTTCCATACAGTTCTTAAAGCAGGTATTAGAAAAGCCTTGCTTTCGCAGTCGTATATATCGCTTGTAAAAAAAAATCCAAAAATCCACCGTATCGCTTAAAACAGGAACTAGCACGCTTCTGTCATCCGTAGAACCAATATTCTGCGGCATAATCAACTTGGATCGTTGCATTTTGACCAGCACACGTAACTGGCGGGTCACCTTCGGATGTCACAACTCGATAAACTTCCTATATAGAATAATTCGGTCAGATATGTATACCCCAGACCCGGTGGTTATGGATAAGCTGAACTTACCCGAATGCCATTCCCCTTCTTATATCCTAGTTTAAGCCACGGAACATCGTTGCAGGATCGTGATTTTGACTTTGGCGCTGGAGTAGACGCTATTTTACTCGTAGCAACCCAGGAATTGGAGCCACTCAGCCCCATGTCAAAGACCGGGTCTCCACTAGCGTCGAAGTAATGTTCGCCAATAATGAGATTGGTGCTTCTCGTTCCCTGGGCCACAAGGGCTGCCATGAACGCGAGAGATCCAAGAGGAGTGGCACTTATAATTGGGGGGACTTCGTGGAGGAGAGCTAGCGATGATGATGCAATGCAAGAAGCGTCAAAGAGTGTAGCGGCAGCCCCTATGGCTTTGGGCTTGATGGTGGTGGAGTTGGAAATCACAGAACCATTCGATGGACAGGTATAGTTCTGTGTTCCTCGACCCAATGCAACGTATTTGAGGGTCATGTTCGTGGATGGTGCTGGAAGCGGTGACTTTGTTGCGTTCAGCGAGAGGGAAACTTTTGCGAGAGAACAATTCCCGAGGTTAATGTTGTCGAGTTGGTTGTAGATTTGGGAGAATGAGGAAGCAAGAGCCAGAGTATGGGGAAGACCCGAGTATCCTTCCACATTAGCTACTGCGAAGAGCAATGGCAGTGCTAAGAAGAGCCTCATGGTGGCCGGGTAGTTTTGAATTTATAATATGCAGACTGTTTCTAGAATTTGCTCGAGTAATTCTAGTGCTGGGGTTGTGGAAAGAAACTGGGGTATAAGGGCAAGGATAAAATCAATAAACAGGGAGATATATCTTATTTAATAAAAAGTCTGCCAGAGCTACTCTAATATGTAACAAAGGACATGCTCGGAGTTTGAGATGCGCCGCACAGGTAGCAAGGCTCTCGGGGTAAACCGAATTCAACTAAGCGCAGTGGATTTTGGTTTAATGAATACTTGAAGGGACCAATAATAGATTCTATAATCGATACCGCTATTCAGATATGAGTTGTCTATATACTTAGAAAGTATCCGAGTCTGCTGACTGGGCTAACGGTGCCCTAAAGTTGGCTTCTTTGTTGTCAACCCCACCTATCTCGAAAAGTTGCTGGAGAGATCGGAAATGAGATTTCAATTCACCTTGTTGGTTAAATGAGAAATGTGTAACCATAGGGCTTTATAGGTTACACTAGTACCACTGTTGTTTACGTTTACTGGCCGGCAGCAAACGGTCGCCTTCACGTTGGACAACCCTGGAATATATTGGGCTATGAGTAATATTGTGTAGACTTTGTCAATAACAGTAGCTTGGTATAATCAGCCTTAGGAGGCATATTGATCAAGTACATCCTACTAAATCTTGGAATGTTACAAGCGCTTATTTGATGCACCTACTACAGCCTAGATCTCTCATTGGCTATCGGAGAGTTTCTTGTTCCTGTCCCCAGTCATATTAATAACCTTTTCCCTAAATTAGACCATAGATCTCAAATGCGCAGGAGCACTAGAGTTCATGCAGGTCTTCAATATCCCTACTACACCAGTTGTGGGACATAAATAGACTATAAGCGCCCTCACAGCGCCACAGATTCAAGTGCCAATCAGGCACCAACACATGAATTTATGACCCATCAAACACGGTGTATGAGTTGAATACATACAAGGCATCAGAGAATGAAGAGCCAGAATGACACTACTAGGTAGAGATATGAATGGTTCATGATCAACTATTAGTAATGGTAGCTCACAGCCCTGGAGTTGCTCCTATGACAATGTAACATGCTTTTGGAACTTGACTTTATATATATATATTTTAGCAAGACCCATCGTTTCTCATTTTGATATCTTTAGGCTGTTACTCAGTTCACTCTTCCCTTCTATTGGGGATGTTCACCATATTCCTTTCATCAATGTCCCGCCGACGTTAGTTGCCTGCCCAAACTTGGCCTGGGGCCCCAGCCCCCCGGCCGGGGGATAATCATGATTACGTTATAACTCACGTGACTAAACACCTGAGCTTCTTGGGTTGTCCGGTGTCTAATCACGTGCAGCCTAATCACGACCTTTTCATCACGAGGCGGCTAGCAACACTGCATCCTCAATCACCATTATTGTGACCGTTACAGCGGTTTTCAATCCGGATGTAGCTGCGGTGTTCCCTTCTGCGGTAATACAGGCTCACTCATATCCTCGCGACTTTTACATTTCGTCACCATGTCTGACGGTAGGTTTTCGCAAGCTCTCCCGCCCGATCATATACTGATCCCCACTGCAGCCGATATCGAGGCCGTTCGACGGCTCCAAGCTGAGCGCAATGCTGCGGCTGCTAAGCAAAAGGGCTCCAAGACCTTTGACCAATCTTCTCAACGCACTGATAACTCAACCAAAGCCTCCCTGACGGAATCCTTCGACACCTTTTTGTACGAACGGGATGGAGCAGAGAAGTTTTCGGGCTACGATACTTCGATCGCTGTTGATGGCGATGAAGAGATGGAAGATGTGGATGGAGGACACAAACTAGTTGGCCAATACACTGCTACCAGAAGCCAGATTGATGAGATGGCGCAAGGAACTGGCGTTGAGGAGGAGGACATTCTGCTGGGACGTGAAAAGTCGGCGCGAATCGCAGACCGTGAGACAGACTACCAAAAACGTCGATTTGACCGTGGCGCCTTGACGCCGACGCGTGCCGATCCCTTCGCTGCCAACGGGAACGTCGAAGGAGAAAGCCAAACCTACCGTGAAATCATGGCTCTCCGCGAGATGGATAGGGAAGAAGAGCGCGTCCGAAAGCTGATCGCAGAGAAGCGCGAGAAGGGCGAAGACGTCACAGAGCACCAGGCTTCGCTGAAGATGGTGGAACACGATAAAGAGAACGCCGAGGCGGCCGTTGCGGTGACCACCGAAAGAAAGCGAAAGAACCGATGGGACCAGGGTACTGCCGAACCAGAGAAAAAATCACGTTTCGATCAGGCACCTGCTCCCGCTGAACCATCCAAAACCGGCCGGTCGAGGTGGGATCTAGCACCATCTCTCACAGCTGCCACTCCCGTCGGCAACCAAGGACTCGCCACTCCCATGCACCCATCCCAGGCCGGTGCCGCTACACCTGCAGCCGGGTTTGGGGCTGATGTTCCTGGTCAGGTTGTTGGCTGGTCCGATGAAGAGCTCGATATCATGCTTCCCGGTGAGGCTGACGGCTATAAGGTCCTTGATCCTCCTCCCGGATATGAACCCATCCGAACCCATGCTCGCAGGCTCACAGCCACACCAGCACCCATTTCTAGCGCCGGTGGTGTCGGAGGGTTCATGATGCAAGAGCCAGAAAGTGTTCAGTCTGTAGGAAAAGATCTTCCAACTGATATCCCCGGTGTGGGTGAACTTCAATTCTTCAAGGCGGAGGATATGGCCTACTTCGGTAAGCTGATGGAAGGTGGAGATGAAACCAGCATGACTGTGGAAGAAATGAAGGAGCGAAAGATTATGAGATTACTGCTCAAGATCAAGAACGGCACACCGCCCATGCGTAAGACTGCTCTGCGTCAAATCACAGACAATGCGCGCGACTTTGGTCCCGGAGCTCTTTTCAACCAGATTCTCCCCCTGCTCATGGAAAGGACTCTGGAAGACCAGGAGCGCCATCTGCTGGTGAAGGTCATCGATCGAATCCTCTACAAACTGGATGACCTGGTCCGCCCCTATGTTCACAAGATTTTGGTCGTCATCGAACCATTGCTTATTGATCAAGACTACTATGCTCGTGTTGAAGGCCGAGAGATTATCTCGAACCTTGCCAAGGCCGCCGGTCTTGCTACAATGATCAGTACTATGCGTCCTGATATTGACCATGCCGATGAATATGTACGAAACACCACAGCACGCGCTTTCGCCGTTGTGGCCTCTGCCCTCGGTATTCCCGCCCTCCTTCCTTTCCTCCGCGCTGTCTGCCGCAGTAAAAAGTCATGGCAGGCTCGACACACCGGTGTCAAGATTGTCCAGCATATCCCTATTCTCATGGGTTGCGCCATTCTCCCTCATCTCAAGGAGCTGGTTGGATGTGTTTCAGGTAACCTTAGTGATGAACAAGCTAAGGTTAGGACCGTCACTGCTCTATCTCTGGCCTCTTTGGCTGAAGCCGCGAATCCTTATGGTATCGAAAGTTTCGATGACATCCTGAGCCCTCTCTGGACCGGTGCCCGCAAACAGCGTGGCAAGGGTCTCTCTGCCTTCCTCAAGGCTGTCGGTTATATCATTCCTCTTATGGACGAAGAGTATGCCAACTACTACACCAGTCAAATAATGGAGATCCTTATCCGAGAATTCGCCTCACCAGATGAGGAAATGAAGAAGGTCGTGTTGAAGGTGGTCTCTCAGTGTGCAAGCACTCCGGGTGTGACTGCCAGCTACCTGAAGGAGCACGTCTTGACAGATTTCTTCAAGGGCTTCTGGATGCGACGTATGGCGCTCGACCGCCGAAACTACCGCCAAGTAGTCGATACCACAGTGGACCTGGGTCAGAAGGTCGGTGTTGGCGAGATTCTCGACCGCGTCGTCAACAACCTGAAGGACGAAAGCGAGCCATATCGCAAGATGACTGTGGAAACGGTCGAAAAATTGATTGCATCACTTGGAGCCGCTGACATTTCTGAGAGGCTGGAAGAACGCCTTATTGATGGTGTCCTCTTCGCCTTCCAGGAACAAAGTATCGAAGACCTTGTCATTCTTAATGGATTCGGCACGGTGGTAAATGCACTTGGCACACGATGCAAGGCCTATATTCCCCAGATTGTCAGTACTATTCTCTGGCGTCTGAACAACAAATCCCCCACTGTTCGACAGCAAGCGGCCGATCTTATCTCCCGCGTCGCCCTGGTGATGAAGCAGTGTGATGAGGAAGCGCTCATGGGCAAGCTTGGTATCGTGCTCTACGAATACCTGGGTGAAGAATATCCCGAGGTTCTGGGCTCGATCTTGGGTGCTTTGCGTGCCATCGTCACCGTGGTCGGTATCACCCAGATGCAGCCACCCATTCGCGATCTTCTTCCCCGACTTACACCCATTCTGCGCAACCGACACGAAAAGGTGCAGGAGAACACAATCGATCTCGTCGGTCGTATTGCCGACCGTGGTCCCGAGTCCGTGAACGCCCGTGAATGGATGCGTATCTGCTTTGAGCTGATGGATATGCTCAAGGCTCACAAGAAGGGAATTCGCCGAGCGGCTAACAACACATTCGGTTTCATTGCCAAAGCCATTGGTCCTCAGGATGTCCTGGCCGCTCTTCTCGGTAACTTGCGTGTACAAGAGCGTCAGTCCCGTGTTTGCACAGCTGTCGCCATCGGTATCGTGGCCGAGACTTGTGCTCCATTCACTGTGCTCCCGGCACTGATGAACGAGTACCGGGTACCCGACCTGAACGTGCAAAATGGTGTGCTCAAGGCCTTGTCATTCTTGTTCGAGTACATTGGCGAGATGGGCAAGGACTATGTCTACGCTGTCACGCCACTGCTGGAGGATGCCCTTGTCGACCGTGACCAAGTCCACCGACAGACCGCTGCCAGCGCAGTTAAGCACGTCGCACTTGGTGTTATCGGTCTTGGTTGCGAAGACGCCATGGTCCATCTGCTCAATCTGCTTTGGCCTAACATCTTTGAGACCAGTCCCCACGTCATCGATCGCGT